AAGTATACTGGACCAGTTTATCATGACTAGCAAAGATGTTAGCGGTCAATGCTCATACAATGCAACCTTAATTAAACTCGGTGAGTTACAAACTACCTCACTACCAACACCAACACAAACAACAATAACACAAGCAAAAACAACGGGGCATGAATGGATGGGGGGAACATGATAGATAGAGAGAAAGCATTAGGAGTGGGAAAGAGATAGCAGGGGAGATGAAAATGACTTAAATGCATTAAGTATATGCATGAAATAATCAGAAAACAAAAACTTAAATGTAATAGTTGAAACCTAAAGCAAAGTTAGACATACTAGCATCCCCAAAGTTGTTAGTTACCAGGCTGCATCTCCAGGTGTTCTCTTATCTACCTCATGATTCGTCTAACATACGGTACAGGGGACCAGAGCTGTTCATTTATTGACCCCAGAGCATCAGGGGGAACTGAAAAGAATCCCAGGAAGCTTTTTCACTCTGATCCCAGTGACCCTTCACTAAACAGTTTACCCTCTCAGCAGTGTTTTACTTTCATATGGTAAAGATTCTACTCATCTTTATGATAATAATGACTTGGCTCTCACCTAGGAGTTAGGGTAAGGATTAGACAGAGAAAAATACTATTATTCCCATCACTGTGTATGCATAATTATTTGATCCCCTCCTTTGTTGGCTATGATCCCATATGGCCCAGCCTTCACCCACAGACACTGGCTCACACATACTCTTTGTTCATTGCTCCTCTTGCTACCCAAGGAAAAACCTGGCCTTGGCTTTTCCATGTAGCTGAATGTTGTCGTGTTTCCAAAAGAGGAAAAGGACTTTCAGAAAATGACAGAAGGTCTATGCTTATGAATAGTACTTGAGTTTTCTAAAGCAATGGGACCTGGAAACCTTACTGGAAAAATGAAGTGAAACAGCTAGTCGCATTGGAAAATTTGTGGAGTAGGCATTTCTATTTCTGGTCCCCACCAAGCCTTGCACTCAGAGTCCTCTATCACAAGGTCCTTGAACCTTGGCTTCAGCATCACAAATCATGTTTCCATTCAGCTTCTCGGGGACTTTGTAGTTTGCTTTTGTTCCTTTAATGAATCTTGATTCTTTCTACACTGCTTTGGTCAGTGTATGTTGTCCAAATGGATCTCTATAGTTTCTTTATTATTGCTGTTTTCAACAGAATCATTTCATTGGGTGAGTTATATGATTTTGAGTTTTAAAATGTATAGGGATGTTTTTTGCCCTAACCAATGTTCAGTTGTTTGCATTGACCATGATTTTCTTTTCCTCAATGAACCATCTGCTTTTTCTCTAATTTTTAAGTTCAAGGCTCTTTGTTCTTGTTTATAAGAATCTTCATTGTGTGGACATGACGACCATGCAAGATGTTCCCTCCTTTGTTCTTTCACACAATAGGCAGCAGACAGAGATCTTGTCCCAGTGCCATCATCTGGAGCATTGATGTTAATAAATGGATATGATGAGCTGTAGAGTTAGAATTAACACAGATGGCTTCAGAGTCCTGAGTGTCACTCTCTAGGGTTTGCAGCCATTCTTTTAATAAAGGTAGATTAACACCTAGACCTCAAAAAGTTTAGAAATGTCACATTGTTTGGTGCTGTATCTTTCTTGGTCATTATTTCCTAACACATTCAACAGCAAAATTGTTTCTATTATACATAGCAACAATTGGTCAGCTCAGAGATCTGTTCTGTCACAACTACATTCATGGTAGATCTTCCCACCTCAATCAAACCAATTTAAAAAAAAAGTATCCTCACAGGCTAACAGCTTGGTATTGGCATACAAACAGACACATAGACCAACGGAATCTAATTGAAGATCCTGATATTAATTCAAACACCTATGAACTGAACACCTGATTTTTGACAAAGGAGCCAAAATTGTCCAATGGATAAAGAAAACATATTCCACAAATGGTGCTGGCATAACTGGATGTCAACATGTAGAAGAATGCAAGTAGAACCATATGTATCACCATGCACAAAACTCAAGTCCAAATGGATAAAGACCTCAGCATAAATCCAGCCACACCGAACCTCTTAGAAGAGAAAGTGGGAGGTACCCTTGAATGAATTGGCACAGGAGACAACTTCCTGAACATAACGCCAGTAGCACAAACACTGAGATTGACAATTAATCAATGGAACCTCCTGAAACTGAGAAGCTTCTGTAAGGCAAAGGACAGGGTCAATAAGACAATGGAAGAGATCTCCACCAACCCCACATCTGACAGAGGACTGATCTCCAAGATATGTAAAGAACTCAAAAAACTAGACATTAAAATACCAAATAATCCAATTTAAAAATGGGGTACAGATCTAAACAGAGAAGACTCTCAACTGGCTGAAAGCAATTTAAGATATTGCTCAACGTCCTTAGTTATCAGGGAAATGCAAATGAAAACAACTCTGAGATAACATCTTACTCCTGTCAGAATAGCTAATATCAAAAGCACCGATGACAGCTTATATTGAGAGAATGTGAAGTCAGGGAACACTCTTCCACTGCTGGTGGGAGTCCAAATGTGTAGAGGCACTTTGGAAATCAGTATGGTGGTTTCTCAGAAAACTGGGAATCAATCCACCTAGTTATCGGACAAGCCTTTTCTCATTCTCTCCCAGCCTATGGTGCCCCTTTTTTCTTTTAACAGTATCTTTTAAGATTTGCAGAACAACTTAAATTTTTAATGAGTACAAAGCATCATTCTTTCGTGGGTTACTCTGTAGGTAGTGGTGAGTGTGTGGGAGGACCATGTGCACGAGTTCCATGGAACATTTTTCACACTCGTGCATATCACTTGGGCATATACCCAAAGCATAATCATACCACAAGGACATTTGCTCAACTGTGTTCATAGCAGCATTATTTGTAATAGCTGGAACCTGGAAACAACCTAGATGCCCCTCAACTGAAGAATGGATAAGGAAAAGGTGGTACATTTACACAATGGAGTACTACTCAGCAGTAAGAATTTGCAGACAAATGGAAAGAACTAGAAGAAAATATCCCGAGTAAGATAATCTAGATTCAGAAAGACAAATATAGTATGTATTCATTCATATGTGAATGCCAGACAAAAAGCAAAAGATAACCAGCCTACAATCCACAACCACAAAGAAACTAGATCCCTCTTCTAGAAACAGATAGAAGCAGATGCGGAGATCTATAAGTAACCATATGGCCAACCTCCTAGAGTACAATTGAAGTGAGGGAGGAGCAGTATTATGAACAAAGGAGTCAAGAAAGAAAATCTTGATGATAGAAAGTCTTTCACTTGAAGCAAAACAAAAGTTGCATTTTAATATAACATTGACTGTATTATAGTAGGAAACACAGGCACAAGTAACTGGAAGTCTGAATTATAACCTAACACAAGTAGTACAAAGTCTGTATAAGGAAAACAGACTCGGGGGCGAGGCATCAAGGAAGACCTATAATGGAGAGGTAGCCCATTTCCGTATGCTCGATAGGAAGAGTTAATATTGTTAAGTGGCTGCTATTATTACAGAAACAGTGCCTGACAGGTATAACTACACCATGCAGAAGGATCATGGGTTCAGGGCCAGCCTCAGGTACATAGACTGTCTAAAGAAAACCAAGGGCTGGGAGGTATGCCGCTCAAAGATAGACAAGCTTGCTTGCTTGTTTAAGCTGTGCAAGAGCCTGGGTGTGATCTTCAACATCAGGTAGGGAGGGGAGAGCAATTCTTTCCTCTACAGATGTTCCTTGATTTGCAATGGGATTATATCCCAATAAACACATCATAAATTAAAGCTATAGTGAACTGAAATGCACTTAATAATTTAATAAACAAAACTACCAAACACCAAAGCTTAGCAAGGCAGTGCATCTATTGTGGCGTGTGGGTTGTTACTCACGGCTGGGTGGGAGCTGTGGCTGCTGCTTCCAGGTTCATTCCCTAGCCTAGGAAAGAACAAGAATCAAAGTATATTGTTGTGAAATATTAATTAAAGGTGTGTACAGCCTTTTATGCTGTGGAATATATGTTTAATGATGCAAAGATATGTTGCCTTTATTTATGTTGCATGTGTTTAACTCTGTAAAGCTGTGTTACTTTGCCTGTTTATAACACCTGATTGGTCTAGTAAAGAGCTGAGCAGCCAATAGCAAGGCAGGAGAAAGGATAGGTGGGGTGCCGGCAGAGAAAATGAATAAGAAGAGAAGGAAGAAGATGAGGAAAGAGAAAGAGAAGGAGAGGAGGACAGCAGGGGCCAGCCACACAGCCAGCCACAGAGTAAGAAGGAGAAAGATATATAGAGTAAAGAAAGGTAAAAGCCAAGAGGCAAAAGAGATGGGATAATTTAAGAAAAGCTGGCTAGGTTAGACATTCATAGGTAAGAGTAAGCCTCGGTGTGTTTATTTTGGAGCTGGGTGGTAGACTCCCAAAGAGCAAAGAGTAAAAAAACCAACTATGGTATATTGTTTTGCTGAATGTGTATCACATTTGCACCATTGTAAAGCTAAAAAATAATCATAACTCTGGAACCATAAGACTTACAGATTTAATGCAATCCTAGTCAAAAGTCCCACTAAGCTAGTTTGCAGACATTGACAGCTTTATTCTATAATCCTTATGGGAAAACAAAAGTTCCAGAAAAACTAATAATAATAGTAATAATAATAATAATAATAATAATAATAATAAACCTGACACTCAAAGATATATGAAACGCTGTTGTGACCAAGACAGCAGACAAAGGAATGGACAGCTGGATCAAGGGAGAGAGTGAAAAACTCAGAAATAGACCCACATAGTTATAGCCCACTGATCAGGAGAGCAAAGACAATTCAATGAAAGGACAACACAAAATATTTTTAACACATGGGGTACTGGATAACTGAATAATCACAAACCAAACTACAACAAAGACTCTACAAAGTGATCAAGAAAGAAATTCACAATAGACACTAGACCCGAATGTAAAATGCCAAGACACTTCCAGAGGGTGATTGATATGCTCGTTTCTGTGGCACAGACACTGGGCTGACATTGGAATGACTGGGACATTAGCATGGCCCCTGGGCAAAGATGACATGTAAATACATGCAATGTTCCATGTTTTTCACATGATCCTCCCACATACTCACCACCACCCACAGAGTAACCCATGAAAGAATGATGCTTTGTACTCATTAAAAATCTAAGTTGTTCTGCAAATCTTAAAAGATACTGTTAAAAGAAAAAAGGGGCACCATAGGCTGGGAGAGAATGAGAAAAGGCTTGTCCGATGACTAGCTTTATTGATGTCCCTCGTCTTTGCCTTTGTGGGGCTTCCTGCCTGGAATGCTCTAGGCTGATACACACCATCGTTCCCCTGGCACAGGCTTTATTTCATATCTCTTCTAAAGGCAGCACATATTAAATTTGTTATCTAATGCTTCCCCTTTCTCCTCCTCCTCTCTCTCATCTCTTTGATCTGTAGTTCTTATTACCCTCTAACACACTATTTTGCTTATTGAACACTAGGCGCTGACTAAATATTTGTTGAACGAATACCAGTGCCTCCAGCAGCAGAATCCCTCATGCTGTTTCTATAGAAACACCTATACCACATTTTAAAATAATTCTCTCTTTCACAGTTTTGACAGACATGGGAGCATTCTAATGGAGATGAGACCAAATACACGCTGCACAGGTACAGACTGAAAAGAATCGCAGACTCGGTCTCTCATGCTCTTAAATGATTTCTGAGGGTGAACATGGTAGGAACTGCAATACCGTAAGTAATATTTTTATTTCTTATTAAGTTTAGCATATTTTGTTTTCATCTGTGGGGGAGTTAGCCAACATGCTCAGACTGGGAAATCCATGTGTTTTCATATTTTTCATACTGTTTATAATGTAACATCTTCCAAAGTGAAATATGCTTATTGCCTCTTAAAAATCAAAAAAAAAAAAAAAATGGTCATTGTGTTCTACAGTATGATTTAATGTGAAAGCAAGAAGCCTTGCTCCTTCCTGTTGTTTGGAGTAACTGTTTCAATCAGCCGAGTTCACACTGACATCTGGAGGCCACATGTGGGCACTGCACAGGGTGGCAGTGAATTTCAGAGCCTGCCAGAACGATTAAAACAAAATAAAGAAACACTTAAACACATCAAAAAAAAAAAAAAAAAAAAAAAAAAAAAAAGTAAACCAAAATGTTCATCTTAAATGTGCTTATAACTTCTACATAGACCTCTGCTGCTGGAGAATTGAGTAGGAACAAGAGAAAAGAGTGAATGTTGAATGTGTTCCCCTAGATACCAGGGAGCACACTAATGTTTGCCTCGTGCCCACTCACTGAATGGTCAGCCTAAGAGGGACTATTACTATTCCCACTACAGCTGACAGGAAGGTGCAGAACAATTAGCCACCTGTCTCCATGTTGCTTAACTGGTCTTGGGGTAGTGGAACTTGAACCCAGGTCTGTATGACCCTAAGTTTCCAGGTCCAGGGCTCTCAGAGATGGGTTCATTTCTCACTGTTACAGAAGTTTCCAGAAAGGATTGTGTGTGTGGGGGGGGGGGGTTTCACTGGAGAGTCTTGAGACATTCGATCATTGCTGCTAATCCCCGCTGGAAACAAAGATCCATAACATTTCCTCTATAAACTCTCTCTCTCTCTCTCTCTCTCTCTCTCTCTCTCTCTCTCTCTCTCTCTCTCTCTCTGTGTGTGTGTGTGTGTGTGTGTGTGTGTGTGTGTGTGTGTGTACTAATATTACTGGAAGGAGATCTGGTGGTGGAGTCAGGAATGTCTTGGAAAAACCAGTTTTCATTAAGTCTGTGGCCAGTTTTTAAATGTCTTAATGGGCCAAGTGTGTCAGGACTACCCCTGTCCTCAATCTTAATGAAGACCCAAAGAGCTACTTGTCCACAGACTACATCAGCAAAAGTTCTCCATCATGGAGTTCCAGATGGAATATACTGATAATATCGATATCAAAGGACAAAGACCAGCATCATATATTTTCTAGCTTTTTAACTGACATCTCAGATCCATTTTGTTTTATAATTAAATGACTTCTGTGAGTGTTGAAACTATCTTTCCAATAGCATAACTATACAGTGCTTTGCTTCATTAAAAACTACTAGTTTGCTAAATATATATCTTATATTTCAAGAACCATAGCTATAGTTTGGCATTAAAATAGCCTCGTTGTGAGGGCTTGTGCCTGGTCTTATTGTATCTTGTGCCATGTTCAGTTGATGTCCCTAGAAGGTCTGTTCTTTTCTGGGAAGGGCAAGGGGAGTGAAGTTAGGGGAGAAGAGAGGTAGAGGGTAACTGGGAGGAGTAGAGGAAGGAGAAGCTGCAGTTCAGATGTATTGGATCAGTGAAGAATAAACAAAAATTTAACTATAGATGTATTTTAATTTGTGTGTGTGGAATATGTATGTGTGCTAATGATCACACACATGTATATACATGCGGAAGAAGCCACACAGATTAATGTCGGATATCTTCCTCTGTCACTTTCCACTTGGTTTTTTTGAGGCAAGCTCTCTTGTTGAATTCGAGGCTAGCTGTTTCAACAAGATGAGGTGGTCAGTGAGCTCAGGCAACCCATTTCTCTGTGACGCATCTCTCGAGTCGCAGGTTGAACCACTACGTCTTGCTCATACATGAATGCTGGGGGTCCAAACAGAACCTTATACATACATGGCAAGCACCCTACCCACCAAGTCATCTCTCTAACCTGGAAATAAACTAAGGGCATCCAGAGATGGAAGGGCCTTAGGGTTCCATTGCCCTTTAAAAGCTCCAAGTGGAAAGGTCTGTAAAGCCACAACTACTCTTAGAACATCTGCCCAACAAAATGTGAGTCTGCTTTGGTCCTCTAAGGATCAGCACGGCTTCTTTGGATCAAACAACCTCAAAAGATAAAGGTTTGGCCAAAGAGAATATCCAATGAGAAGATAGCTGGTTTTTGAAAAGTGTCTGATCAAATAATGAGCCCCACCCAGAGCATTTCGACCCTGGTAGTTCTCATATGCGGCTAAAGAGACAGAACCATCGTCACTGTTTCTCAATGATGCAATGCCCCCAATAAATGTCTCCTGTAACTGAATACTCCCAATAATAAGCAAGAGTGAAAATAATTGGCTTTTGTTAAATTAAGTTTGTCGCAACTAAGGTTTCAAAAGAGGAAAAATTTGTGGATTTTCCCACCAAAATTTAATTTGGATCAGCAAATATCATTGAGCACAATGTTCTCTCATCTCTTGTTTCTACTGCCATGTTTAAAAAGAACCACAAGCATTACAGTTTCTTCTTATATGTCATTTCTCCTTGTTTTCTTCCATTAGGGACTCATCAATGGTGCTGGTTGGTTTTGGTCCACTTGACACAAACTTGAGTCATCTTGGGAGAAGGAAATTCAATTGAAGCATGGTCTCCATCAGATTGGCCTGCAGACAGAACTGTGGAGCATTTTCTTGATTGCTAATTGATGTGGGAGGCTCAGGCCACTATGGGCAACACTATGCCTGAACAGATGGTCCTGGCTTGTATAGAAAAGCAATTTTAACAAGCCGTGGTGGGCAAGTGAGTGAGCAGTGTTCCACTGTGGTCTCTGCTTTAGTTCCTGGCTCCAGATGCTGGAGTTGAGTTATGCCTCAGTTTCCTTTGATGACCTACAACCTGAAATGAACACTTTCCTCCTAACTTGGTTTTGGTCATGGTTTTTTATCACAGCAGCAGAGACTGAAACTAGGACATCAACTCAGCCTGTTGATAATAGATGTCTAAAAAGAGCCACTATCTTTCTACCAATTGGGGAGAGAATAGAAGAACTGTTCAGACCAAAGCTGCATGCTTTTAATTTATTGCACAAGAGTCCTTGTGTCCATTTTCTTGCCAGGGTGCTTAATTCCTACAAAAGCAACTTTGAAAGGAGATTGATTTTGAATGAGCACATGTTGGCAAGAATGTGCCTGGAACTCCTCACATCTCAGTAGACCAGGTTGCAGAGGAAAGGGAACCCTGGGGCTTAGCTGGCTTCCTCCTGTTTCCTTTGTATTCAGTCCCTTGTTCACAGGATGCTGCCAGCCATATTCAGGATCCTTCCTTCCTTCAGCCTCTCTGGAAACACCCTTCCAGACTTATCAGAGCTGTGTTTCCCAGGTGATTCTAAACCCAGTCCAGGTGACAATGGAGATCAACCATGATAGGTGTTTTCTGTGAGTCAGGCTTACTAAAGAGCCTTTTGTGTGTCTTCCCATGGGCAATATAATCTGAAGTCACAGCATTATTATTGCCTATATTAGGAGCAGGTATAATGTGGTAGATGCTTCATGATTTCTATCGAATCTATCACATTACAGAAGCTGAAAACCTCAGTCACTCTTACCAATGGAATTGTAACTGTAACTGCTCACAGACACACACACACACACACACACACACACACACACACACACACCCTCTTCTTCAGAAAATGCTGAGGTCATTCCAAAATCTAGATGCTTTTTTTTTTTTCTTAGACAATCCCAATTTTCTTCTTGGCCACAAAATTTCAACCACTCAAATATGCCTCCAGCGGTGCAGTTAGAGCCTGGTTAAGCAACATATTTCTTATGTTAAGTAGATCAACCTGTTAACTGCAGCCCTGTCTTAATTGAATAAACTTAGACAAGTTATTTACCTGCAGTTTCCATATCGGTGATATAGGAGAATAATTATACAGAACACATACAATGAGGTGATGATAGATAGACAGTGTCACAATGGGAGACTACATTCAGCCAAGATAATGGAGGACCATTTGGGAAGAGGAACTATTTACAGACTTGTAGAAGGGGACTATTTAAAGAGTTGGAAGCATCCCAGTGCAAAAAAAAAAAAGGGGGGGGGAGTAATTACCACTTCAGGGACAAAGGGAGGGGGCAGTGAGATTAGATTCTTAACCCCAGAGAAGTAGTTATAGTTAAGAGTTGTGGTTGAAATTGTAGTAGTCATGTTTGTCATCTGCTTGTGCTTGTGGTTACTGTAGTTGTGGTTGTAATAGGTGTAGTTGTGGCTGTAGCTACAGTTGTAGAAGAGGACCATTGGTAGATACTGCTATATAACAATACAACTGATGCTT